GGTTTATCCCAATACACTCAATAATTTCAATTAATTAAGGTTTTCAGTTGAGATAAAAAAGTCAGTGTCACGAGCGAGATTTGAACCCACGAACTTCGGTTAGATTACGCCATTGCTCTACCACTTGAGCCATCTTGACCTCGATCCACTCGGACACTAAATTATCATCTCAACCCCACCTTTTGAATTTTCCCTCCTTTTTGCCATTTTTCAAATGTCGTGTAATCTATTTGATTCTCGGCGACAAATGAAATAGCCACGGAGAGTTTTAATTAAGGTATACTTCATTTTTATTTATTAAATTCACCAGTTTTCATGGTCCCCTTGACCAATTAAAATCTTTCAATTAGTTAAGGTTTTTAGTTGAGATAAAACAGTCAGTATCACGAGCGGGATCCCGATATAATTGTATTAAGATATTGGTCAAGCGGACCACGAAAACTGGTGAATTTAATAAGTAAAAATGAAGTATACCTTCACTAATACTCTCCGTGACCATTTCATTTGTCGCCGAGAATCAAATAGATTACACCACATTTGAAAAGTGGCAAAAAAAAAGGGAAAATTCAAAAGGTGGGGTTGAGATGGGAAGTTAGTGTCCGAGTGGATCGAGGTCACGATAGCTCAAGTGGTAGAGCAGCGGTGTATCTAGCCGAAGGCCGTGGGTTCGAATCCCGCTCGTGACACTGACTTTTTTTATCTCAACTAAAAACCTTAATTAATTGAAAGATATTGATTGGTCAAGCGGACTACGAAAAATGGTGAATACACTCAATAATATTCATGTCGGGCGAACAATCGAGCCAGTACATCCGCATGATTTCGTGATCCTTTAAATATTATTCTCGCTTTAGGTGGTCGACTATTATAAACAACAAGAATGTTCAATTCCTTGGTATAAAGAGGCAATAAAAGGACTTATAATTTCTGGTTTCGTGAATAATTGTGTCTGTAAAGTGAAATTTGCGATTTCCTGATATCCTTCCACCAGCTGCTTGAGTGTCTTTCATACGAGCGTTGTTGCCTCAGTCATAATGAGTTAAATCGCTGGTTTTGCTGTCTTCACACTCTACCATATGGATTATGATAATGGAAAACAAATTTCGATTAGTAAATTCACGACGGTCCCAGGCTTCATCAGTCCAACACATGTTCAAGAGCCCAGGTATAGCGCTGCTTAGGTTCATTAAAAAAACTTCGTTGGTCCTCTTGCCCTTTAACCGACTAACTCATTGAGTTAAAATATCCTGTTACGAAGTATTAGCGAATTATACTTTATTACAAAACTGCAAAGCCGCTTGAAGAATTGATGGTATTATATAGTTACTAGATTATCTGTTTTAAAATTTCCTCGATGTAAATCATTTTACGATATTTTAAGCAATATATTCTTCCGTGAATAAAGTTTAAATCTTATTAGTTCCTTTCTGATTCTTTTGTGATCATCACCATTAAAAGAAACAACGACGTGGTACTTTTACCAATGTCAAAGTTAATTCCATTAAAAAAACTTCTTCGTTGATCCTCTTGCCTTTTAACCGACTAACTCATTGAGTTGAAATATCTTTTACATCCAAAAAAAAAAAAAACATTGCGTTATGAAATCTTGCGTATGATATGGATTTTTAAACTTCGGTCCTGTTAAAGCGTAGTTTTCCAAACTCAGCGCCTCCTCCCTGAAAGTATCATAGAGTTAGTTCATCTTATAAAACTATGAGAGCAATATGATACCAAGAGTTGAAAAGAAAAACTAATTAAAAAAACACTATACTGTTTTAAGTTGTCATCAAAAACATGATCAAAGATGATTGTTTAAATTTAACAGTTTTTTCTTGTTAAGAAAATATGCTGATTTAAAGGTCCAATGTTACACAAACCTTTAGACAAAATTTGTGCCTACATGATTGAGGCATATTCTCTTAATAATAAGCATATATTACCAAACTGCACAGTAGGCCAGCTATCAAAATATAATGTATCGAACTGTATTTGTTACGTACTGATAACCATTTTAAACTATTTTTTGAATTGTTTCATTTTAAAATTCACCCGTCAAAAATTATTAGCGAAAAGTTGGTTTTTGCCTTAATTTAGGCACATAGTATTCCTATTATGGTGTGTCTGTTTATACAAAAAAGATCTGAATTAAATATATTTATCAAATATTAATACTATAATATATTAAATTTCTTGTAATAATAAATTATCATGGATTAATTAGGTTCATGAAAATTGGTTTTATGACAGTTTTGCTTATATAATTTTCGTTATTGCTTACTTTTATTAATAATTTGCAGAACTATTTACCCAAAGGATTTTCCATTTAATTTGTAAATTTAAATTACAAGAGGTAAAACATCAACCGCATATGAATGGACTGGAACTGGATTAAGTGCAAAATCTGCAGTTGATCAAGGGTTGCATCGTTTCAAAACCGGGCGCGGTAACAATCAGGTCGCCGTTTACAGATCGATGATGGTGATTTACAAGAGAGTGTAAACCAGGATTTGTACGCTGCCAGTCGGGTATTATCAGTCCACAATTTGGGATTGAAATGGCACAGTAGCTCTGGACTTGTAAATATCCTGCCGATACGAGGCAATCGTCTGTTGGAGGCAGCCTGACGGGTGCTGCAAAAACGCAAATAAAAAATTGGATATGTAACGAGACTTTAAAATTTAAGTTCTTCGGAATAAATACTACAATGAAACAACATTCCAGTTTGACGTCTTGCCTCACCCTGCTTATCACCTAACATCACATCTTTCGTCAATCTTTTTTTCTCTAATTGAGGCATTTTTACGCACACGGATTATTATAATAACGTAGTATTATTACTATAATAAATCTGAAACCAAAACTGCATGGATAATTAAGTCGTTTTAAGTTTTAATTAAAATGTTCTGCTTTGTTTTTATTCAATTTGAAAATAGTTCCGTTTCAGGTGCAAGAAAGGTAATTTAAAGTGGATATTTTGTTTTTCAAAAATATTTACAGCTAGTGTGTAGAATGGTATTCATGCAAACCGATGTATCGTGTTAAATGTGTTAATTAAAAATTATGTTAAAAACATCGATGGTCTTTCATCTACTAAAAGTGCTGATGTGTTTTCAGAGGTTTTTTCAAATAAGATCTTTTTCATGATTAATATTAATCAATATCATTTTTTGCTGCCAAAGATTAATTTTAAAATGTACAGTTTAATCTAATTAAGACTTAGCCTTTTTGAAGAGGCTGAATATTTACAGGGTAATGCTTCATACATAGGGCATCTTACGATGTCTTTTCTCCCTTATGAGTCAGCAAGTTTCTGTCTTAGTTTTTCCCGTTTAGAAGTGGTAATTGAATTAACAATGGCCAGTATAACAAACTATAATTTTCTTTAATTCCTTTTTGAAGAGTTTCTTTGATTGTTGCGAGAACATGGCGAATTCCTCCATTTGTTCAGTTCCGCTTTTAGCTAGCTTTGAAGCGAGCTAATTTGCGGTTCCGGTCCGAAAAGTGAGAAGCTACTCCAGTTTTTCCTAGTCCTGCTTGTTTTCTTTTTTCCTTGTTTCCTGGCCACCATCAGAGTTACCTGATTTCCTTTTTCCTTGAGATGGAATGATATGACATTGCAGACCAGGCCAGCTTTGAGTTTAGCTTTCAGTGGTGCTTGGCAGTCTGATAAAATATATATTCTCATATTCTCTATTTTTAAGTTTTTCTTGTGCGCAGAATTCTATCGCTTGAAGAATTGATGGTGTGAAATAATTACTAGATTGTCTGTTTTAAAACTGTCCTCGATGTAAATCATTTTATGATATTTTAAGCAAAATATTCTTCCGTGAATAATGTTTAAATCTTCTTTCTTCCTTTCTGATACTTTTGTGATCAGCACCATTAAAAGAAACAACGACGTAGTACTTTTACCAATGTCAGTGCATAAAATTGATTATAGAATATCAAATCGGCACACAGATTAGCAGACCTAGCACAAAGATGTGCTATTATTTCTAAAAATGCATCACAAAAATTCTCTTCCTTGACACACTTAACACGATCAGCACTGCTTGCGTGTATACCTCCGTTTTTAATTTCATGCTTTAGTACTGAATGCGATTTTAATTAATGCTTTCAACACTTAGGAGCGGAAAAAACTTAGTTTTACATCACTAATAGTCAACGATTTTTTATCGAAGTTAGGAGAACAATGTTAATGTGATTTTCCACTAGTTTCCACATATTGTTTAGTTAGCAATTAAGAAAATTGGATTTAATATATCTCAACCCTGATATTGTTTTCGTTTTTTCTTTTTTTTAAGTATTAATATTAGCCGATATATTTAGTAGCCATAATTACCGTTTCAATTATTTTAACTAATTTTACTTTTAATATAAAGTCTTGGTTGAGATGCAAAAGCAAATGTCACGATCGTGATTCGAACCCGCGACTTTTCTCCGTTTCTCTAACCGCTTGAGCTATCGTTGTAGTGAAGTCAAGCGATTAGGGCGGCGGCGTATTGAGCCGAAGGTCGTGGGTTCGAATCGTGGGTGACACTTGTTTTCTCATCTCAACCAAGACCTTAGATTAAAAGTATAATTAATTCAAATTATTAATTTCTATGTTGTAATAATGAGTTTATAGATTCGATTTTTTTTCAGGCTATGGCTCTGCATTGCTTAAAACCTAGATTATTTGTCTTGCGTTTGTTTATTAGGAAAACCGTCAGGATGATTTTGGTATTGCGTTTAAAATAATAATGCTGATTTGCTCACGGAGTACATAAAAGATTTCGTTTCTTAATTATCGGTTTTTTGGTTTTGTATTGCTTAAAGTAATTGCAGAATTTATTAGTTTGGGCAGGCAATAGTTAATCAATTTTAAACCAAATGCATCAGCGACGACGACATGGTTTTCTGCACAACAATGTAGATTTTTTAAATTATTTTAGGCTATTGTATTGTTAATTGTTTCAAAAAATAATTTTATTTAGTTAATCTGTTCAATTTTGTTTCAGCATAGAACATCCTTTTCTAAGTACAACGTAAGCCTCGACGCGCCGCTTCTTGGTCCGTCTGGCTCAGGCTACAAATCGCTTAGGCCTCGGCAGAATTCAGTATTCGTCGGTTCTGCCATCAAACTAAACCCACCGAGAAAGACGAAATCCGCGATGGACCTCCAGTCGTTGGTGATGAACGAGACCAGCCCGGGAGTTTCAAAATCGATGCTTCCCATATTGTCCGTGGAAAGGCGTCCGAACAGCTGCGTCTTTCCGGGCCGCCGCCCTTCGAGTACTGGCTACCTCTCTCCTAGAAGACCTTCTGCAGTGCATCTGTCGGATCTTCTGCCGCCCGGTGCCTTCACAGCTTCCAGGGAGAGGAGGCCTTCTTTCAACAATGTCATCGCGCAAGTGACAGCGGAACGGAGACCATCGTCTTCCATGCTGAGGATATCGAACGTATGAGAAAAGCCCAGGGCTTCCATGGACGCCCTGTCGGAAATGTGAAGCCCTATGATATTCCGTTGAAGCGCTGAAACGATCCGAGACGGATTTTTTAAATATTCGATGCAGCTTGTACGATCGCTAATATGAGATGCTCCTGCGAAGCAAAAATTTGAAGCTTTTTCAAATGCTTTCGAAACAGGGAAATTAATCGTCTTTGAAAAGATTAGCGATTATGACGATTCGTACAAAGCTATCTGCCTGAATTTACACAGGTTTGAACACAGATAAAATCTTTGAAAAGATTATAAAGAATCGAAAGGAACCTTGCCTTTCTATTAAACATCGTCTGAATGTTCTTATCCGATAAATGATTAGACTGCTTTTGAAACAAAACTCATTGAAAAACTGGATACAAGGTTTTTCATCCTACGGGTAACACCTAAGGACAAAATATTTAAAAATATAAAGATAATAGTTTCATAAATTAAATATGATTTTTGTCTAGAATAGATTTATATCTATAATTTGTCTCTTATGTTTGTTAGTTGATTGTAACAGTAGGAAATTTTAAAAAATTGTATTTAAACTAACTTTTTTTCAAGAAGTTATTTATATGCCACAATTATATGTTCTTATTAATGTCGCTTTTTGTTTTTGTTAACTTACAGTAACCAAGTTATACATGGTATTTTCCAGGTTTTTTCCCCTTTGAAAAGTACTAACTTCGAGTAGTCACAAATAAAAATTATCTCTTGCCCTATTTTTACTTATAAAAGAAACTTGTGCAATGGAAAAAAGCAATATTCTTATTAGAAACTGTGTCGTAATTGGAACATCCCTGGCCAGAAATGTGTTACTCCTGAGTCAATAATTAATTATAATTGATTTAGCTTATGTTGTAAAACAATACACCAGTTTTATTTTATTTTAAATTATTTTCGAGACTGAAATATCGTTTATAACTTTGACACACACACACACACAATAAAACTCAATTGCTCAAAACATGGCTTCCTTCAGCAATAAAATTCAGAAGGCTATCAGCAAATCGCATTCTACATATGTGTGTGGCTACTCCTATCGACTTTCTTTCTTCTTTTTTTTCCCATAAGTTTTTTTTTTTTTTTTTTTTTTTACTTTTGGAGTATTGAAAATATGAACATAGTACCAGAGGACCAAGATGTAGCACGTCCGTACGCTGTGATAACTAGATTTTAAAATATTCACTCGATTTTACAATAGGACCTTCTGTTGTAGATAACTTTGGTGAATTGTCCCAGAAATCTTCAGCCCTTTTTTTATTCCATTTTCTCCCAACAAATAAGGAAAATAGAAATTTACTAAACATTATAGAATGTACATTATATCTGCATAACTTTATCAAATCAGTTAACATTATTTCATTGGATTTTTTATCAAACATTACTTGTCGTCCTCAGGTTTTTTATTTAAACCGCCTTTATACAACAAATCAGTTAAAATAAACTATTTAAAATTTTAAACGATCTAAATCTAAGACGAATTAAACTGAATTGAAAATTTTTCATTATAAAAATACTGATGGGTCTGAATGATTTTTTATAAAGTTTTTGTTTTAGAAAAACACTCGATGAATTTATTTAAATAATATCGATTTTACTGTTAATAAAACTATTTTACCTTGTTCGGTGTTTGTAAAATATAACTGGAAATATTTATCTATCAGACCCTGAGCTGACTGCCCAACCAGTCTCAAATGTATGATATATTCAGTAATTACGCTTCATGTTTTTCTTAATTTTATTTAATTTTTAGCAAATAAAATACTGTGCCAAATTGTTCAATTTACGTCACAATGATATTTTAGGAAAACCATCAATACTATTATTAAACACAATAACTATTTATTAGAATACGAAAATGTATTTGGAGATATTTTCTCAGCCATATTGTACATAATATTTTTAACGAGATTAGATAAGTGTGTGAGGTCGTAATTAAACAAAATTAATTAGCCCTTTATTATATACGTACAAAACAATTTACTTATTGTATCTTGCAAAGAGAGCTCACGAAGTGTGTCAAAACTGAAAAAAATTAATTAATTATAAGCAAACTGGTAGTTTGATACAAAATTAGAATTAGATCACGATAAATTTTGACTATATGTTCAAATTTGAAATATAAATGAAACATAAAATATTTATATTATAAACAAGGGAAAGAATATTTTTTAAGAAATTCGTAAACTATCAACCATATTGTTTCTAAGTGCCTTTCTTTTTTCTACTTGTTCATAAAACATTGTCAACAAAAATACTTTTTATAGTTCAACAAACTGAAGAATTTTAAAAACTGGAGTATAAATAGTAAATTTTATTAGCCTTTTCTTAAAGATGTTTACATTTCTTAAACCTTGTTTGCATATAGGTTTTTCTTAAATAATTGTATAATTGTAATGACAAACTGAATTAGATATAAAAATCTAAGTTGAATGACATATTAGATTTTTTAACAATTTATATTTGTAGTGAAAAGTAAAAACATATCTCTGGAAATAAATGTATGACTTGTAGCTCACGCTTGTTTTTTAATATTCTAACAAAATAAACATTGCATTATCTCAACTGTTAATATTCTTGTCTTTTTTTATGAATATGTTGTTTTATGTATATTTTATTCAAGAAAAATGTAGGGAGATAAAATAAGCGTACATCTTCTACCTAATATTGAACATGTAAGACCAACTCACTAAGTTTTAAGTAGTTTCCACTTGCTTTAAGTCTTTCAAGGAACAATTTACACGGATGTAAATTTTCGGTCGGTTTAACGTGATCCAAGTGCTTATGTTTTAAAATACAATTTTAATTGAGTTTCAGGCTCTCTTTAGATACTCCGGGTTGTTACTGTTTGAGCAATTTAGTAATTGAAAAGGGAAATAAGAGGTGGGTTAAGAGACTCCTTCTCGTAAAGGAAGGTGTAAACCGGGAATCTCCAGAGCCTGATTACCGGTTCTGGAACTAGTCCAAGGTTCGGTATCCCTCTAATTTACGCCGATCCTCTGTTCTAAAGGTCCCATACTGTTCATTGAAAATATCGATCATCAAACTGAAATGTCCTACAAAACTGGGCGTGGATGGGATGTTTAGACAACGGCGTAAATGTTCGGCTCCGTTCAAAATTAACTGACCTCCTATTAATTCAGGAGCTGCAACTAATTTGGACAATAAAGCCCAACGCCCCTTTGCTGTCAACTCTAGGTCAGAAATAGGTTAGAACGCTTTTGGCAATGGCTTTGTTCAAAGTGGATTTTTTTTATTATTTTCAATATAATTAATGATCAGCTTTCAAAATTGTTATTATACATTATTTCTGTTTAAAGTGCTAAATGTATCGAACATTACTTTTATTCATAAATATTCTGAACTCGGTATGGTCTGGATGAAAACGCACACATTGTTACTGCCAAGACCTATTTTCATGTCAAATCAAAACAATCTGAAATATGTCAAACAAAGAAATTTGAAACAATCTATTAAAACCAAATGTCAATTTGTAAACATTTTAAGATGGATTTGCTCTGATGATGACCTTAAAATAGGTCGAAAGTTTGGCAGTAACAATTGAAATTGTGTTTTTATCCAGACCATACCGAGATCCAAATTATTCGTAACTGTACATTATATCCCTTTAATCAGGAATTTTAAAACATTAAAAAAAGACCCATTATATTTAGCGGTCAATTGACCAAGTTACTTCTTTCAATTAATTAATTACCATACCACTTGAGCTATGGTAGAGCACCTACTAGCATCTACCTTAGCTCAAGTGTTAGAGGAGCGGCGTATTTAGCCGAAAGTCATGGGTTCGAATCCCGCTCGTGGCACTATTTTTTTCATTTCAACCAAAAACCTTACATAAAAATATTAACTATAAAAGTCTTTGAAAAATTCTAACACAAGAAGATGACAAATATGAACAACCATTCACCATCTTGAAAACTTAAGAAAGTCTTCAGAGTCTTGAAAACGAAAAGTATCTTAAGTAAAATCTAAAGTAACTTAACTATATTAAAACTCATACTTAAGGAATAATACAGTATAATGGGGAGATTTTGCATAACGTTAGCCTGAAAGGTACACTAAATTTGTTAAGTGCACACTCAGATTTAACCGAACACTATCTGAAATAGCATCTGCGTTAGAGAGAATGCTATTAGAATAGCGTGAATGTTAGCGTGTGACCGCAAAGTCAACCTGGTAATTTTTCGTTGGAGACATTATATTACATATGTAGAAATATAATAAAATTGTTTATTTTATAAATATTTAACAATTGGTTTGATAATTCACGACTCCTAAAAATGGATGATATTTGGTGTTCAGCAGTAAAATAATTTAGCTGTTTTATCAACATACAAGCAGAAATGACAGTTAACTAAAAATGCTGCAACCTTCAATAAATCTACGTTAATTGTGTAAAACAGACCCTTTGGCTGAACCGCCTAATTACAATTTAAAAGCTAAAATTCTAAGATACCGGTATAGAATGTGGTTATAATGAGTATGTATATGGTTAACTAACTGCACTGTAAAATTTTAGTTTTACCTAAAATTGCTAAGCTACGCTAAAAGCTTGTTTTTCCTTAAGAGTTTTTGACACTTTTTGTCCTCAATTTTATTGAAATTGAACTTGCACTTAATCGCCCGGTAATTAATGTTCCCTTTGCAAAAGCTTTGACAAATATCATGTCCTCAGCAGTTTCCGAACTATTGACAACTACCAAGACGAAATCTATAAAATTCGGGACCGGTGCTATTGTTTACAAGCTTGCAAAATACAACTATAACCCGAACTACTACAAACCTCCCAGGAAACTTGTCAAAATCCGTTATGCTAAGTCCTCAAATAGCGTCAACACTATTGGAAAGATGTTAAACTTAACGGTGACCTCGAATAGCATGCATTATGCACAAATCTGTCTACCTTATATACGGGTCTTACACTATACACCTTATTGTCACGGGCTTCAAGACCCAAATAACAGAACGAAGATAGGTATGGATGCCTGAAGCTCGGCGGGTTTTCTTGTGTTTGACAAAACAAAACAAAAATGAAACAATTCAGATTATTTTCCCGGAAATAGTGAAATTGGAAAATATACTTTGTACTCGCCATGACGTAAATGGAAAGGCTTGTATATAAATAAGATAATATAAAATTAAACCAACTATATTAAACAAGTTCAAGATAAATAAGGTACAATTATTTTAAAAATCAAACCATAACTATTTGACCAATGCTCGAATGAAATTTACAATATGAAACAAAAGACTTTTATACATATTCTTATATGTATTATGGAGCAAAAAAAAGGAAACAAAAAATCTATAATCAACCCTAGTCTCCTTCGACGCATTGCCTTTCTAAGTCCTTGGAGTCCCTCGGCGTCTCCTCTTTTTCCCTTCTTCGGTGTACGCTCCCTCGAGGTCCAGCGGAGAGCAGCTCACTTCGCTGTCCTTTCCTCTGATTCTTGTATTTTTTGACTTTCCACCATCGTCGCTCAACTTTCTGGTGGGACCCTCCTTTTGGAGCGGACCCCTCCTTTTCTTTGTTTCATTTTCTTGTTACGCAATGCAGAAGAAGAAATCAGTGTCTTACACAAAACATTGTATTCCCCTTCGTTCCCGCTCTCTTTGAGCCATCATCGTGTGATATGCATATTACTGTGCGCGCTCTTTGTGAATGCGTGATGGGAAGAGGAATCATGACATTTGTAATTACAGTCGCTATTGCTGTTTAAATTTATAGTATTGGAATTGCAAATATCATGATACATCTCAGTGAGCGCATAGTAATATATTCCATGGAGATGGCTCCAAGAGGGCTGAAACGTCGGGAAATACAATGTTCTGCATAAAAAACTGATTTCTTTTTTTTTCCTCCTCCTCAATCAATCATCAATAAAAATGGTATCTAACACGGCCAAAACATACATTTCCGTCCCATCGCTTATTCGTATACATTTTTCAAAAATCCTTAATCGTCT